GCTCAGCCAGTGAGCAGGAACCGGTCTCCACATGGGATCCAAACCCTCGGCAGGAGCGCCGCCGCGCTCCCAAGCGGCGCACTGTAGCAGTGTGCCACCGGGCCGGCCCCGTTTTTTTGGTCTATTTTAAAGTGTATGAATTTTAGCTCCTGCCAGTGTATTTTTTTCTTTTATAGTTATTATCTCTACCAGGTCTAATTCATCTAGATCAGATATTACAAATTTGGTTTTGTCAAGAAGATTCCCTTCTTCCATCATTATTTTGTCAGTTATAGATTTTATTCCTTGTGGGGTTTTTTCTTTTTACAGTGTTGTTTCTATTCTAGCAAGTCTAATATCTCCTGGGTCAACATTTTTACTGTTTTATGAAACCAAAAGGAAGAGGTTCTTAAGTCAGACCTCTTATTAATAACCTTTCTTATTTTTATCTAAAATAAATTTTGCAATGTGTAGTATTAGCCATTTTCAATTTTATTTTATGCTGATTACTTCTGCCATCCTTTTGGCACATATGTTTTGAGTTTCTGTCACATGCCAGGCACTATCCTAGTCACTGGTGATACATTGGTGAATAGAGCTTACCATCCATCAGGGAGACAAATAATAATTGAGTAAAAACCAGTAGCAGATATTTGTTTCTTGAGTCAAATTGTCTTTATGAGGCAAATTAGTAGGATCTAGGTACTCAGTAGCTTCAAAACATCCTAGAGATAAAATGATAGCATAAAACTAACCTGCTTTCAATAGAATTATTGTATCCAGAGCAGGGGGAGTGATTATCTCATCCTACTTTGTATTAGATCCCCATGAATATTGAATAATATATTTATGCCCTCTCATTATCAATATATGAATAAGCAAGGGACACATTCAGAGGAACATGATGAAGGTGCCAAAGGCTCCTGAGAGTCAGTAGAGCTGCAGGGAGACAATGTGCATAATGGTTAGGAGCACAGGCTCTGGGCCCTGACTTGCTTTGTTAGAAGTATGCCCTCTCACTTAGTAGCTGTGTGACATTGGGCTACTTTCTTCTGTGTTCCTCATTTTCCACAGAATGGTTAAAAAATATGAAGATTTGCCCTGGAAAAACTTTTCCTTCTTGTTAATTAATACTTAGTTCAGGGATCATTGTCTCTGATAAGTTTTTCTTACCCAAGTGTCCTACTCCCCAGGATGCTTCCACCCTCAAATTCCTGGCTAAGTTAGGTAACTCAGACTGTGGTGAAACAATTTCTTACTTTTTTGTTTCACACCCAATTTTGGACTGAATTGTGTCCCCCCAAATTCTTATGTTGAAGTCTTAACCCCCCAGTACCTCAGAATATGACTGTGTATGGAGAAAGGATCTTTAAAGAAGTAAAATGAGGTTATATGGGTGGGCCCTAATCCAGTAAGACTGATATCCTCATAAAAAGAGGAGATTAGGACACAGACTACACATAGGAGAAACCATGTGAAACAAAGGGAGTAGGCCATCCACACGCCAAGGAAAGAGACTTCAGAATGAAACCATTATTGCAGACACACTGATTATAGACTTCTACGCTCTAGAACTGTGAAGAAATTTTTGTCGTTCAAGCCACCTAGTCTGTGGTACTTTGTTATGGAAGACCTAGCTAAATAATACACACCCTATGAACTCCATAGGGGAAGAGATTATGTCTTTAATTTTATATAAAGCTTTTGTTCAGGGAATGAGAATGAAACCAGTACTTATTAGGCACATACCGTATGTCAAGCACTATACTAGGCACTTTACATATATTACCTGACTTAGTTTTCCCAATGATACTGTGAAATATAGATATTATGCCCATTCTATAGGTAAGGAAATTAAGGCTGAGAAGACAATAAGTAATTTATCAGATGTATCTTACTTCAAAATGATTCCAGGGGGCTGGCCCGTGGCTCACTCGGGAGAGTGCAGTGCTGATAAAACCAAGGCCCCGGGTTCGGATCTCATATAGGGATGGCCGGTTCGCTCACGTGGTGCTGACAACACCAAGTCAAGGGTTAAGATCCCCTTACCGGTCATCTTTTTAAAAACAAACAAACAAACAAACAAAAACAAAATGATTCCAGAACATCATCTATTGTCACACAATGAAATAATTTGCTTTAGAAAAACAAAAACATATTTTTTCAAAATCATTCAAAACTTTAAAAAAGATATTTAAAGGTCTGATGCATTTGAATTGCGTTTATTCTTTTTCTTTTTTTTCAGAAGAACAGGATCCATAGCATGAAATTTTTGTTGTGCTGATTTTGATTCAAAGAAGAAAAAGACTTTCCAATAATTGGAGCTGTCTAAAATAAAGTAGATTCTGTTACGCAAACCACTAAAACTAGTGCTAGACAATGGATTGTTACTTTGGGAATTCATGCTTTGGGCAGAAGGCTGTATTTGATGACCACTGCATTCTCTACAAACTCTAAATCATATTACAACAATTTATTATATATCTGTTTTATCAGGCTTGTTTTGAATGGTATTATACTTCAGTAAGATATGATCAGTCTGACTTGTGGTATATACTTGCTTATGTGAATTATTGAGCTACGCTTCTGCGGGGGCGTGCCTGGGGTCCTCCTGCAGATCCAGAAGGAGAAGGAACCGACAGGATTACCCCTGGTGTTGGGACCTAGGGATCTCTGGGAAAAGTGAGCCTGCTGCCCGCCAACCCAGCCCCGTGAAAGAGATACTCAGATGCGGCAGGGGTTCTGTCAGGGCAGTTCCACTTTATTGCCGTTACACTGCAATT